TGGAATCATCTGGAGTTTGAATTATTTTGAGATCTAGGTTTTGGTGTCTTGGGCTCTTGGCTTCGCCGGAGATCTTCGGGAGAGTTTTTCCTTCCTCTCGAATTGAAGGAAAGTTGTATCTTGCAAGTGCTTTTCATCCGTTATCGAAATAAAAGCGTTTGTATTATTTTTCCTACGTTTTCCAACGTTTCTTCTCTGTTTTTGGCTGTTTTCCTGCTGTGGACAGCAGTTCAACCTAGATCTACTTGGGTTTTGGTGTGAAACACTTGGAAATCCAAGTGTTTCCTATCAGAAAACTTGATAAAAACTTAATCAGTCTCACACCCAAAATTCTAAACACATTAGAGGAAAGAACCAATAATTAAGTTGATTACTGGAATATCTATGCCTCACTTCGTTTCATAGATACACGTTTTATTGAAGTTGTCATCAAAACTTGTAGAATTCTTGAATAAGTCACATCCAATTGCACGCATGAGAATAACAAGAAAATTTCAATTCTATCACACTATATACTATATAATGGTATTTTTTACACATCTCAGGTGTTCTATCTAGAACCTAAGAAAAATCTAAAATATGTAATTCCTCAAAATCCTTTAAAATCTGGCATAATACCGTGTGTTTCAATTCGCTACATTTGAATTCCTATAGTACAACTTTCCAATCTTAGTTTCAGCAAAAAATGGTAAATTTTCAACTTAAAAACCCCTTTGCAATTCAAAGGAGTGCAATTTTGAGTCTGGCAATTTTGAGCATGTCGAGAAATGAAGGCAAAAATCAAATACAATTTGAGTCTCGCAAAATGAAACTAAGCAACCTAGGTTAGATACAGTGTAGAGAAGGAAAAAAGTTATAGGAGGAAAGCAACAAATTAGGTAATAGCCATTGAAAAACTGAATAAAAATAAGTTTTAAATCTTAATTTTAATAAAAAATAGTAATTTTTCAACTTTGAAAACTACGTTTTGGCAATTCCAGCTAGTCCCGTCTTTTCAAATACTGTGGAATGCCATAAAGGAATTAAAAATAAAAAACAACTTTAGTGCTGCAAAAGAAAACCTAGCAGACGACTTGAGCTACAGTGGCGAGAAGGAATTAAAATGTCACGATCCGGCCCGGTTAGCTCGTAGATACGAGGCGGGAACGATATCGGACATGTAAATTTAAGTACTCATCATCAGTTCCATGCAATTATAAAGATATTTAAGAATAATAAAAGCGCCTCTAAACTTTCATATCAATGTCACAGGTCTATTACAATGTACAAGATGACAATAAAATTTTTCTTCTTACACATACTCTGCATGCCATCCAAAATAACAAAATAACTGCAACAACTACTACTACTAAAGATAGTAAAAGAATCTGTCACCCGGTGCGTGTCGACTGTAGGTAAACCTCGGGTGATCAGCCATCACCTAAGAGTCGGGTCTCCTGAAAATTTCCCAAAACTAGGGAATGAGCTATGCTCAGCAGAAATTTCTAATCCTAAACATGCTCATTTGACTAAAAAATATACATGCTTTAAGAAAAAGGGAACATGTGTTTCTTATCTAACTCATAATGTCTTGATTAGGTCATAATGAAAGATAATGTAGATGTCATATGCATATGTCATTTAGATGTGTATAATGCATGTCATCTCACTTATTTAATATATTCAACCGTCTCGGAGTACCAGGGGTGTACTGATCAGGTACACAAACCTCTTTTGGCCATTTATTTCTTTTTCCTCATTTGCCCCAAGGGCCATATGTGCCTTTGGCACCGTCTTTGGTACTCCGTATTCAATCATGCACAATTTCTTTCTATATTATTTCATATGCACATATATTCCTTCCATTGCATACAAGGTCATATATGTTTCCTTGAACAAATGTGTGACATAAATTTCTAATCGTGAATTTCATAACTTCTAATACAAAACATGAAAGGAATAATGAAATAACTAGATTGCATGTGTATGGCATGATAACTACTATTCTATTTCTCAAATAATATCATAAGAGATTGACAAAATAACATAAACATGAGAAGGAAAAGAATTTCCTACCTCCACAACCTATGAAATCCGCTTCTTCTTCGCTTTCTTTATGCTTCTTCTTGCCACTACCTAAAGACAATTTAACTCTATTTAAACTTCTTGCTAATGTAAACTTTATGTTTCAAATTTTCTTTTATAGGCTTCCTATAACCTTCTTCCACTTATCCTTAAAGTCAAAGAACATCAATCTCATACAAAATTTTTATATTTATATAAAGTAATTTCGGATTTAATTAAAATAGCAAATATAGGAACCTAAAAAGTCATCCAATTCATCCTAAATCCTTCTAAAACATTCCTCTTTCTTTTACTTATAAATAAATTCTTATTATTTTCGGAATTAATCATAACATAATGAAGAAAATTATTTTTCTTTCTCAAAATTTCAATTTCTTATATTTAGAGACCTCTCTAAATCATTTGAAACACCTTTAGTGAACATGCCATACTAGAATTCCTAAGTTTGTGAAAACCCTAAGCTTTCCCTAATTTTTAAACTCAAAATTCTTTAAAATTCTTCTAACAATCCCTATAAAATAAAGCATAAAACAAAAAACCCTAATTTCGGATTTAA